GCAGTAGTAGTAGTAGTAGTGGTGCACTGCACTGCACTCGCTGCTCCAAGTTCGGCTGAAGCTACGCGAAGAGACGAGCATCGCTCGGCGACTCTAGTTGGTCGCTGTGCCTGATTGCACATCCCGGCAACGACTATGATAAAGGCGGATCTCTAGTCCATTGCTTGGAGATCCATTATGGAACATGTCTGCAAAACTGCCGTCGATGAGCCCTTGTCCTCACCAGCATACAAGTCCTCTGTATCTGAATCCGAAACGACAATAGCAGAGGAGGCTGCACTGTCATTCGCGGAGACAGCATGTGCCACTCCTGTGTCCGGGCTGGCCATCTGAAAGTCCACTGGTCCTGTATTGCATCTTGTACGAGAAGCAGTGTCCTCGTGTGGCCTTGGTTGTGCTGAGTCGTCGGTAGCATCCATCCCATCTGTTGCACCGTCTTCAGCAGCATGTGCCCTTTGGATATCGAAGAGTGCCTGCTGTCTATTGCATCGACGGCTGTGCTGATGCCGATTGCGTCGGTGCCTGAGGTCCGGTTTGCAGTGTGAGCAGCAGCTATCATAGCCCGGTCGAGTCATGCAGGAGCAGCCCTCTGTACGACATGGCTCCGCATCTCCTCGTCGGGTGATCACCCAATCCCACCACCATTTGCGCTGTGCTTTTTGGCACCTTGCAGAGTGGCGCGGCTCCAGTCCCCGACTGGCTGCGAAGTCGCACTAGCTCGATGACCATAGAACCAGCGTCCACATCCTCTGTGCCCACATTGTTTCATTTCCCCACACGAGCAAAGCGTTGCGAGCAGCCCACAAAAGCTTCCAGTTCGGTACGTGTGCCCAAGCAACCAGAAAAAGGAGAGGGACCCACCTCTCCTCACGCTGCGCTGGAGGGCAGTCTCTTGTGCCGCCCGTTTCTGCACCTTCAAAGCAGCAGCCTGACTCACACCATCCGGTGACGAGCAGGCGCAGCATAAAGTGCAGCCATGGCTGGCTGCAGCAAGCCACTGCAAAACGAAAGCCACCTTGTCGGCAAACCAAAAAGAGGAGAGGGGAGGGCCTAAACCAACAACCTACAAAGGAACGTCACAGCAGGGGAGCGGGATCCTAGGGCAGGGAGCATTCGGCAGGCCAAAGCCAAGCTCAGTCAGGGTCCGGCAATCCTCCTCACTCAGGCTTCGAACTTGACCAATAGCATGAGCTACCGACCAGTCCAATACACAGCGCTCAGTGTCCCTGGCCGACAGCATGACAGCTGCCCCACTAACCAGAAACGAGCTGCCAGAAATGAGCTGGCCACGATGTTCCCGATAATGCGAGCCTCCAACTTCTGCTGCCCACAATTGGCCATTGTCAAAATGTGACAACCCGATCAAAAGACTGTGGTGAGAGGAGTTCGCCACGTCCTTGTGCACAGGTGCAGCCAATTCAACATTAAAGGATATGGTTGTCCAGACCTGCGCCGGATGTACCCACACAATGAGAGCATTAACCAGCTTGCAGACCGAGGGGTGGCCGTGCGTCTGGTGCAGCAGGCCAGTGTGGCTGTGATGGCCATAAGCCCCAACACTGAAACTGGTGTGCGCTGCCAGAAGCAGCTCCGCAACCTGTCCCACCGCCGACCAAAGAGACCCACGTTCCTGCAGCAACAGTTGGTGTGCCAAGCATTCCGCAGCCGTGTGCTTCGGCAAGGGGCTCGGTTGTGGGAAAAGCGTAGAGCGGTACGACTTCAGCTTCCTCGAGAGCTCATCTGCATATTGAAAGAGAAGTGTGCGACCCTCCTCGTCCAAACGGTCACCGGCTGCATATAGTATGTCATTACGAGAAGCAAGTGACAAGGCAGGAGGAAGAGCACCTCCTCCCTAAGTACTCCAGAGGTGGCGGAAAGCTTGAAGTAGAAGCCACTCCTCTAGCTGTTCCGTATACACGGTGGCCGGAAGAGCTACAGAGAACGCCATGTCACGAAGGTTGGGCCCTGGCTTTTGGGAAACACACATACAACACAGGCACATTCGGGCAAACTGGCAAGTGGCAAAATACCGAAGTAAGCTCCCGGCACTGTTCAGGCACGGCAACCAGTGCAGGTTACTGAGAGCAAAACATGGCAAGCCGGAGGGCATTGTGACGGCAGGTCTCCAGGCATGACATTAACAACATGCAGGGATAAATTCAGCAATCAATGCACAGAACGAAAAATTTCATGGCGCGCCCCTTCGTACCAGTCATGGTTCAATGCCGTTCGGCAGCAGGAACATGACCCGGCTGGCACAACTCGCAGCTGCTACTCCTGGTCAGAGTCGGGCACATTTCAGCAGTCCGATTAAGTAGGCATCGCGATGGATGGTTTGCTGATCAGCTGCTCTGGCCAGCCGAGGCCGCTTTCTATCATCACAAATTCGGTACTCCCAGGGAGCACAAGTTGTGGTGTCACCTTGCTGCGCACTGCAACACAGAGCAGCTTGATAATGTCCACTATTAACACTATCACCCCTATGGAAGATCACAAAGACGACATCCACGTATTATGGGGAGCCAACTAAGACTGCCTGGGAGGTATTGCTTACCAGCAGGCCTGGTCAGGGCAAGAGCAGCATTGGCACGGCCAGCGCAGGCCCCCATCGGAGTAGCCAGCTGTGTGAGCCAGCCTAGAGCCTGGGCCACCGCATTTATGTAGCAAACGTTGTGAGGATTTTGAAGTTGCGCAACCGGCAGCAGGGGGTACGGAGCCAAGCGCATGTGGACTGAGGCTGTCACGCATCCATGTCCTCCTGGGCACGCTCTGGAGCATTCTCGCGGCTGTTGTCCGGCGCCGCTGTCGACGTCTTGCTCGTCCTGGTCCATGGCTGGGTACGAGCTTGCCATTGTGTGTAGGGGACGGCCAGGTAGGCTCGCTCCAGCTCCGCAGCCAGCGGCTGTCTTTCGCCCCTGGCTGGCTTGATCCTCATTCCGATGGTCTTCAGCGCCGAGCAGTTTACCAGGGAGCGAATCGCCTGGTGGCAACGGGCCGCCACATCCCCTCGAAGGCTGAGGGAGCAGAAAAACGGTAGTACCGCGCTGGCATAGCGATCCGTGCTGGACATTCTGCGCGTCGCCTTGAACTTCGTCAAGACATTCTCGTGAGCCAGGTGTTGTGCCAAGAAGTCCAGGTGACGACAGACCTCGCTGTTCTTGATCGGCGACAGCGTGCTTTGCTCCTGCTTTTTCTCCACTGGATTCCACTGGAAATACGTCCAGAGGGGATCGAGGCCGGTGGCACCGTCCTGGATCCACTGCCACTCCTTGGCCTTGGCCATCTGAGCATCGTCTTGTAGTAGAGCAGTGATGCGAGAGCTCACCTCCTGGAAGATGCTCAAGAGGAGGATGACCTTCAGTGGACTCTTCACTCGGCCATTCTCGAACTCGTTTGACCAATGCTCCGCCACCTGTCGCACCTGCAGCAAAATGCCACCTGAATTTGTGTCCAGGTAGAAGATCATCGTGGTGTCGATTCTGAGTTTCGCCAACTCCTCCTCGTGTCTGATGGCCATGCGAACCAGAACTGTCAGGAGGTTCTGGGTGGCTGCATCCACCGTCTTGTCCTCCGCATCCAGGTTGAACCATTCCTGCTGGTGTGGTTTCCATGAGTCCCAGCTGGAGGCACCCTTTCCCGACTGACCTTTCGATTGAGGTTTCGGCCATTTGGGTTGACGCCCCTCCGCCAGTGCCCAGGGATCCTCGCGGCTGCGTCGGTCCGCTGTCTCGTCCTGTTTGGCTAGTGCTTTCTTGGCCAGGCCCAGGACGTCCATCATCTCTGCAGTCGCCGTTGTTGGCAGCTCCTCCTCCACGTGTGCCATCTGTATCCTGTCGATGCACTAGTTCGGCTAAGGAGGCCTGATACAAGACTAGTAGTAGTAGTAGTAGTAGTAGTGGTAGTAGTCGTGGTAGTCGTGGTACTCGTGGTACTCGTGGTAGTCGTGGTACTCGTGGTAGTCGTGGTAGTCGTGGTAGTCGTAGTAGTCGTAGTCGTCGTCGTCGTCGTCGGTCGTCGTCGTCGTCGTCGTGGT